TACCGATATTTCAAATCTCAGCAGGGTCACCCGTGGTGGACAGGTCAGTGGAGCTTCCAGACTGAGTCAGATTAGAAAAAGGACAGGGCCATCCACTACTGAGAAAATTGGCCACTGCGAACCTTAGGACAGCAGTGAAACACTGTCTGATACACTGCGGGAAGGTGAGCCCTCAGATTGGAAGGCACTCAAAATATGGAAGTCTCCTCAAAGCAGACTTGACTTTAGTGACATGGATGGAGTAAAGCTTTTGGGAAATTCATTTGCTGTCGTGGCTTGACTCAAAATGAAGAAGAAACAGCTGCAAATATCCAGTAGTATTCAGAACATGGAATGTACAAAGTTTGAATCTAGAAAAATTAAAAATTGTCAAAAAATGAAACGGAATGCTTAAAGATTGATATCCTCGGTGTTACTGAACTGAAATGGACTGGTATTGGCCATCTTGAATCAGACAGTCATATAGTCTGTTATGCTAGGAATGACAGATCGAAGAGTGTCAGATTCAGTGTCAAAAAGAACATTTCAGGGTCCTGGAGTATAGTGCTGTCAGTGATGGGATGATAGCCACAAACCTGTAAGAAAGACAAGTTAACAGGATTATTACTCACATTTACACACCAACCGCTAATACCAAAGATGAAGACATTGAAGATTTTTAGCAACATCTGCAGTCTGAAATTGATCAACCATTCACTCAGGGTATATTGACAGTTAGTTGTGATTGGAACTCAAAAGTTGGAAACAAAGAATCATCGGTAATTGGAAAATACGGCCTGCATGATAGAAATGACACCAGAGACCTCATGATAGAATCTGCAAGACCAATGACTTATTCATTGCAAATACCTTCTTTCAATAACATAAACGGCGACTATACATGTAGATCTCGCCAAATGGAATATGACTACGTCTGTGGAAAGAGGTGATGGAGAAGCTCAGTATCATCAGTCAAAAAACAAAGCCAAGAGCTGACTGAGGAACGGACTATCAATTGCTCATAGGCAAGTTCAAGTTGAAGCTGAAGAAAATTGAAACAAGTCCATGAGAACCAAAATATGACCTTTATTGGGAAATATGACCTTGGTGATGGAAAGGATGCCAGAGATTGCATGATAGAATTTTCTGAAACCAATGACTTACTCATCACAAATAACTTTTTTCAGCAACATAAATGTGGAAAATTATGTGTCAGAGTGGTATCCTTTTCACTGTACTTGGTCTGTATGCTGGCATACGATCCGAGAAGCTGAAATGTATGAAGGAGAATGTGGCAACAGGATTGGAGGAAAGTGCCTTAATGGCCTGCAGTATACAGATGACACAGCACTTGTAGCACTTACTGATGAAAGTAAAAGCCTACAGCTTGCGGTATGGATTACACCTTAACATAACAAAACTAAATTCCTACAACTGGGCCAATAAGCAACATCACGAGAAATGGACAAAAGATTGACGTTGCAAAGAATTTCATTTTACTTGGATTAGCAATCAACACCCATGGAAGCAGCTGTCAAAAAATCAACTGATGTAATTCACTGGACAGATGTGTTGCAAAAGACCTCCTTAAAGTGTTAAAGAACAAAGATGTCACTTGGAGAACTAAGATGTGCCTCACCCCAGCCATGGTATTTTCACCTGCTTCATCTGTGTGCAAATGCTGGACACTGAATAAAGGAGATCGGATAAGAAGTAATGCCTTTCAATTATGGTGTTGGCAAAGAATATTGAATACACTGTGGGTTGCCAGAAGAAGAAACAAGTCTGTTTTGGAAAAATTGCAGCCAGAATATTCCTTGCAAGTGAGGATGGTGAAACTTTGTCTTATGTACTTTGGATATGTCATCAGAAGGGACTAGTCCCTGGAGAAGGAAAAGTGGAGGGTCAGCAAAAAAGAGGAAGCTCCTCGCCGAGTTAGATTGATACATTGGCTATAAACAGTGAACTCAACTGTAGCGGTGATTGTCAGAATGGGGCTGTGTTTCATTCTGTTCTATGTAGGGTCACTATGAGTCAGAACCAACTCTGCGGAACCTAACAAGAGCAGTATGCTAGAAATACACATCTGGCAAATGAAATTTAAAAATTTTACTAACAGCAAATTAATGAAACAAAATACTTAGATATAAATTTAATAAAATATGTACAAGACATTGTACTGAACACTATTGCTGATTAAAGTCAATCTCCTTAAAAGGAGAGATGTAGTATGTTCAGGGACTGGAGGCCTCAGTATGGTAAAGATGTCAGTTCTTTCTGAATTGATCCATAGCTTCATTGGCATTCCAGTGAGAATCCCAGCACACTTTTTTGTGAACCTTGGTAAGTTGATTGGAACATAGGCATGCAAAGAACCAGAATGACTAAAGCAGTTGAAAGGAAAAATGTATAACGGTGTGGAACTCTGGCTGTCGGTGGAGTGGGGCAGAGTCCAGAGAGCAGAAGCACCTGGCCCATGGATTTTTAACCAAGGTGCCACACTAAGGTGACGGAGAAGAGGCACCGTTGCAACAATTGGTGCCAGAACAACTAGCTATCTGTAGTTCATCACACATCGTACACAAAAACTACTGTGACATTGATTGTAATACCAAATCTAAAGGCAAAATCTATAAACCTTTTCATCCAGAAAGGTTCACAACCTTGACTTAAGCCTAGATGCATTAGGACATGCAGAAACCTGTGACCATGGGAGGAAAAAGGAGAAATTGTTTTCAAAATTTTACTCTTCAAAAGATACCATTAAGAAAGTAAAAATGGAGACAGGGAAAAAATATTCTTAATACACATGTCTGACAAAGATGTGTATACAGACTGTATTAATAAGTTTTTACCTCAGTGCAGAGAAGACAGACAGCCTGGGTGAAAAGAAATGGGCAAAAGATTTTAAGAGAGAGCTCAGAGAAGGAAGTATGTGAGTGGACAGTAGGCACATGAAAGTACACTGACCATTGATGCTGGTTGTCATCGTAAGTTGCTGTCACACCAATTCCCATGCACGGCCACCTGTGTCCAGCAGAACAAACAGAGCCCAGTCCTGCACCACGCTCACAGCCGTTGGTGTGCTGGAGCCCACTGTTGTAACACAGCATGTCTTGGGTGCTTTCCCTCATCTCCCTGATCCTCTGCTTTTCAAACATGATGCGTTTCTCCTGATGATGTGTCCACAGTAAAGAACATCAGGGACTGTTGTCTCCTTCTCAGGAGCATTCTGGCTGTAGTTTTCCCAATGGTAGTCAGTAGAGAAATGCAGGTTAAATTCAGTGATAGCACTCTGCACTCACTACCAAAAAAAAAAAACAACTCCCTGCCATTGAGTCATATGGACTCATAGCAACCCTACGTTGGGTTTCTGAGGAGGTATCTCTACAGAAGTAGATTGCCCAGTCTTCCTTCTGAGGAGTGGCTGGTGGGTTTGAACCGCCAGCCTTCTGGTTAGTAGTCAGATACCTTAGGCACTAGACTACCAGAGCTCCCTAGGAGAGATGGCATAAAGAAGACAACCAATAACAAGTGGTGGCAAGGATGGGAACAACTTAACTCCCGTGACTTACTGATATGCAGCTACCTGCTGGTACAGGCGTGCTGAACACACTCACAGTTTCATATGAAGTTCAGACACATTTATCTGGTGACCCAGCAATTCCACTCTTAAGTGTTTGTCCAACAGAAATGAAGACATATGCACCTAGACTAGCTCACGATTCTCATAGCTTAATTCCTCATAGCCTGTACCTGCAGATGATGTCTGTCACCTGAAAGGCATGTCCATGAATGGAAAGCAGTACAAAGGGACAGTCTGGGGACGTGCAGCAGTATGGGCGACTGTCCGAACATGCAGAGTGGGCACCAGACTGAAAGAGCACTAGTGTGACCCCCTTCATGAAGTTACAGAAAAGAAAGGCTCCTCAGAGCCACCAGTACCAGATAGGATTGTCTGAATCTGGGCAGTGGTGGCTGTAAGTGGTCCCACTGAGGGGTCTTTGTGGATTGGTGGAATGCTATCAGCATTGATCTGTGGGGGTCACATGGGTGCACTCATCCAAATCCATTGAGCTGTAGACTAAAAATGAGAATGTTTTATTGCATGTAAACTAAGCCTTTATTAAGTTGGGTGTTTTTTTTAAAAAAAAAATCAAATTTCAATAACCATAAAACCAAACTCACTGCCGTCGAGTCAGGTCTGACTTATAGTGACCCCTCCTTGAGTTTCCGAGGCGATGTCACTATGGAATTACATTGTCCAACCTTCCTTCCGGGGAGTGGCTGGTGGGTTTGAACTATCAGCCTTCTGGTTTGCAGTCAGATGCCTTAAGCACTACACTACCAGAGTTCCCCAAATTGCAGTAGGAGGAAAGTATTTGCAACAAAAGGATTGGTACCCAGAATTTGTAAAATCCTGATCCTTGAATCAGAACCCATGTGTTCTCTGCCTAAGTCCTGTCTAAGTGTGTAAGCTGTGGTGACACCTGCCAGTGGAAGGAGGCTGACTGTGGGGATGTTTGCACAGGAGTGTCCTTTGATTCTTTTCCTTCCTGGTTCCTTCTCAACAGATCAGTCTGTCTAAATACATGTTTATTCGTGTGTTGTTGTTGTTGTTGTTGTTATTTGCCGTCGAGTCGGAACCGACTCATAGCGGCCCCTTCTTGGCTTTCCCAGGCAAGTATCACTACGGAAGTAGATTACCCAATCTTCCTTCTGAGGAGTGGCTGGGGGTTTTGAACCGCCAGCCTTCTGATTAGCAGTCAGGTGCCTTAGGCACTGCACTACCAGAGCTCCCATTTATTCGTGTACTACTGTTTAGAACATAAAGTTTACCGAAGGGAAGGGGAAGAAAGCAAAGTCGGCTTTGAAACAGTCACAGCCAGGGCTTAACATTTCCTTGCTGGTACCATGCCTCGTGAGTCGTAAGGATACTGATTAATACGATTCATTCCAGGATTGTAATGTGTTTGCTGGATTAGACATAAAGGCTTACCAGTTTATTTTCTTTCTCCTAGATTTTCCTGAGTCCGACAAACTGACGCTGTTTATTGCAAACATGTGGCATGATATATTTATGTCCCAATCTGTGATTAATAAAGCGATGCAGTTAGTTGCCAGGCAACGTGCTAAAGGAGAGGTTCTGAACTGTTTGAGAGCTTTCCTCAATTGGGAGAAGGTGAGTTTTAGTTTTATTTCTTACAGTGTCATATGTGGAGTCCTCGCATAATGTGGTGATTTGCTCATGTATTTGTCCCATCAGTTCACTGCGTTATAAAGGCAGTATTCTCTGTATCAGGCTCGTTTAAACATTTTAGCTTAAGCATATGCATTTTGCTCATTACGTTTTCATGAGACATTCTGAATAACTGCAGACCTCTGGGTTGTGTTAACAGTTGTTTATGCACTAATTTATTGGATGAAAACCATACATTGGTATATATTCATGTTTTTCCAATGAAGGGCCCAGAGGAGATGTAAGCTATTTGCTTTTATAGTAACTTCACTCTTTTTCTTTTTTTAAACGTTTGTGATTTGGGTGAAATATTACAAAGCACATTCATTTTACACTCAACAGCTCAGACACACTTTGTTTTCTGACGCTGGTTGCATTCCCTGCAGGGTAACAGCTCTCCTCCACTTCCTCCCCGTGGTCAGATTTTCCCTGGGTCCTTCTTGCCTAGGCATTCCTGCCTGCCTCCCTTTATCCCTGTGGAAATGCTGCCCCTCTGATCTCCTGGCTGATTGTTCTAAGCAGTGCATCTTCCTGGTGTAGGTGTTCAGCTCCGAGGCCCGTGTGTTGTTTAGCTGAGGGTTAAGCCATGGGAGTGGGTTCAGTTCCAGGCCCAAAGGATGAGTTGGGGTCATAGTCTTGGGGGTTTCAACAGACTCTATCAGACCAGTAATAAGGTCTTTATTGGAGAAGCTAAAGAAACTGGCATCTTGACTTCTTCCTCTGAAGATTTTTCCATCTAATTTTCTGTCTTTTTCTTCCAAGTTGATGGAATTTATGTTTCTTTTTGATTCCATGTTGCCTGTCACTCATTTTACATTTTACATTTTTATTGGTGCTTGGTGTGCTAACCTGCTGTCTGGCTGTGTTCTTGACTTGTGCATCTTACCTCAAGGGAGCCTCTTGATGCTGAGGAGTTGACTATGAGAAGAGGTGGAGGTGCTCAAGTCAGCAAGGCTGCACTGACCTTGATCTTTTCTCTAACGTGCGTGCATTACTCTCCTTGTTAAAGTTGAATTAATCTGTACTTAGGTACAGAGTGGAATTTTGTATACCATTTTGCCTGCCTTCTGAGTATTTTTTTGTGTTAGTGTTCGTTTGAATTTTATTTTTTATGAAAAGTGAAGGAAAGGCCACTAGTTGCCTTTCAATTTGTTGTCCTGTGACTGCTTGCGTGATCCTGTGAGGCTGGAGGCTCTGCCACCGGTATTTCAGGTCCCAGCAGGGTCACCCGTGGTGGACACGTTGCAGAAGAGCTTTCAGACTCGGAGAGACTGGGAAGGACCACCTGGTGGTCTACCCTGGAGACCTCGTGAACAGCAGCAGAGCATTGCCTGGTACAGCACCAGAAGGTGAGCTGCTCAGGTTGGAAGGCACTTGAAATATGACTGGGGAAGAGCTGTCTCCTCAAGGTACAGCGGACTTTAAGATGTGCGGGCAGTGATGCTTTCAGGACCTTCGTTTGCTGATATGGTGTGAGAAGAAACAGGTACAAACATCCAATACTAATCTGGCAGTGGAATGTACGAAGTATGAATCAAGGAAAATTGGAAGTTGTCAAAAATAAAATGGAGTTCATAAAGATAGGTTTTTATAAGCATTAATGGCGGCATAGTGCCTAAGGCACTTGACTGCTAACCAGAAGGCTGGTGGTTTAAACCCACCAGCCACTCCTTGGAAGGAAGGTTGGGCAATCTACTTCCATAGTAATACCACCTCAGAAACCCAAAGAGGGGTCGCTATGAGTCAGATCCGACTCCACGGCAGTGGATTTGGTTTTTTCTTTCTTTTATTTTTGGAATGAGCTGAAATGTGCTAGTATTGACCATTTTGAATTGGACAATTACATGGTCTGCTGTGCCAGGAAAAATACATTGAAGAGAAATAATGTCACATTCATTGTCAAAAAGAACATTTCAAGATGTATCCTAAAGCACGATGCTATCAGAGACAGGGTAATATCCATATGCCTACAGCAAAGCCCAGTTAATACAACTATTATTCCAGTGTACACAGCAACCATTAATGCCAAAGAGAGGAAATTGAAGATTTTTACCAACATCTGAAGTCTGGAGTTGGTCAGACATGCAATCAAGATGCATTGTTAATTATAGGTAATTGAAATATGAATGTTGAAAATAAAGAAGAAGGATCAGTAGTTGGAAAATATGGTAATAAAAATGATGCATGGTAGAATTTTGATAGAATTTTTAGATTACATGATAAAATTTTACAAGACTAATGGCTTACTCTTTGCAAATCCTTTTTATCAATAACATAACTGTACATCTGGATCTTAGTAACTGGAATACATAGGAAGCAAATCCACTACACCTGTGTGAAGAGATAACGGAGAAGCTCAGTGTCATCAGGCAGAACAAATCCAGGAGCCCACTGCATAACAGACCATCAGTTGTTCACCATGCAAGCTCAAGTTAAAGCTGAAGAAAATCAAAAGAAGTCCACAAGACTCAAAGCATGAGTCTGGATATGTCCCACCTGAATTTAGATACCCTCCCAAAAATAGATTTGATGCATTAAACACTGATGACTAAAGACCAGATGAGTTGTGGAATGAAACGAAGGACATCTTATCTAAAGAAAGCAAAAGGGTCATTAAAAAGACTGGAAAGAAACAAACAAAATATGTGTCAGAAGAGGCTGAACCTTGCATTTGAACACAGAGTAGCGAAAGAAGATGGAAGAAATGGCGAGGAAGAGCTGAACAGAAGATCTCAAAGGGGAGCTGGAGAAGACGAAGTAAAGTGTTATAATGGAATGTGCAAAGACCTGGAGTTGGACACCAAACGGAAGAACATGCTCAGTGTTTCTCAAGATGAAAGAACTGAAGAAAACTTGAAGCCCCAAGTTGCAATATTGAAGAATCGATGCCTGTCTTAGAACAAATACAGCCAGAATGCTCCTTAGAAGCAAAGGTGGCAAGACATTTTCTGTCATACTTTGGTCATATTATCAGGTGTTCAAACTAACACCCACTGCAATCACTTGGCTGTTCCAAAGAAAGAAAGTCCAACAGAATGTGGAAATTATCAAATAATGTCATACAAGTAAAATTTTGTGAAAATAATTTAAACCCAGTTGGAACAGTATATTGACCAGGGAACTCCTAGAAATTCAAGCTGGATTCGGAAGAGGATGTGGAATGAGGGATGTCTCTACTTCCTGAGATGGATTTTAGCTGAAACCAGGGAATACCAGAAAGATGTTTACCTATTACCATTGACTATGCAAAGGCAGGGGAGCTCTGGTAGCATAAGACACTTGCCTGCTAACCAGACGGCTGGCGGTTCAAACCCACCAGTCACTCCTCGGAAGGAAGGTTGGGCAATCCTACTTCCGTAGTGATACTGCC